ATCTGAACAAATTAATATGGTCCTATAATCCCAAAGATGACATGCTAAACTATTGAATTCACATGTTTAAATATGTTTACTGTGAAAGATATATGTGTTGTGTTGTTTAATGTTCCCAAATATACTTATTTATCCATGAAGCTTGAGGTGGTCGAGGTTATGTAGAATTGGCGAGTGTTGTTCATATATAAGCTTCTTTCGTACAAGATAAACAACTTTATATATAGATTCATTGTTTTAACCTAGAATACTATTATTTTGATATGCACTACGTAAACTCCTAATTCACAGATGTACCGTGTTCCATTTGAAGCCAAGCATTTCTAGTTCATATTGGTTTTTCATTAATCTCAGCGAGTCTCACACAATCTATGATCCACTTTTACATGTAGCACATGTTTCGTATGGATTGAAATCTTGATTTTAATATAAATCAAAGTCAATAATTAATTTTAATTATATATTTTATGGGATCTAGAATTTTTTAATCACACATTTCATCAATTAATAAATCATATATTATTTTATTTTTTAAAATTAGGTCAACGGTTTGATTTGTTATGAGACAATTTTAACTACCAAAAATTAAATCGAACCATCTTTTAACTTGTTCAATTTAGCACAAAATGGAAATGTTAAATTCAAACCGATGATTTTGACTTGATTTTGCGACTTGACGGTTTTTATTTTGCTAACTCTACTACTAACCTGATAATGTGCTGCCAAGAAAATAGATTAGGGACTCAGATACAATAAATTCCATAGCTTGAGGAGTAATGATGCGATTTTCCATTTCTTTTTTTTAATATTCTCCTCTTCGCTGCCCATTTCCACGGCCACTGCGTCCAAACGGACCAAACCCCAAAATCTAAACCGGTAGGCATTCTCATTTCTTTCAGATCCATTTTTCATTCATACGAGTCACTCGATCTCCAAATTTAGGGTTTCAATCTCTATATACGTTTATATATATAATGTATATACATTTTTCTTGGTGCTGATTTTTGAGTCTATTCATTGAAAACTTTGTTATGTGCAGGTGACTTTACTCATTCATTTACGAATAATTTAGCTATGTGAGTATTACCAACCATTTTCTTTTATTACCCAATTTTCTGAAACTGAAGTATTTGATACTTTTGATTTGTTTTTTACCTGAATTAAAGTCGATAAAGAATATTACAGTTGATTTCTGCTTTTTTTCCCTCTTCCACAAAAGTATTTGTTCGTAATTTTAGAAATCATACAAGGCTGTAAATACCAATTTTTGTATTAGTTTACCAACGTATCGGCTCATGAGAACCAGATTATGTGACTGCAAGTTATCAGGATTACAATGATAACCAGAATTCATTTTTCTTTTCCTTTAATACATTCACAAGAAATACTATTTAGTTGGGCTGTCCATTGGGATTTGTATTAATTTCTTGACGGACATTAGATTTCTCTTTGGCTAGGCCAAATTAGGTTACGATTCAAGTAGCAGAGGACTATGATTTTGGCCATGACCGAAAAGTTAGGTGTTTGATATTGCTTCATCGAGTTCCATATTTGAGGTGAAATTTCAATACATGTAGCCCATGTTTGGTATACATTTTTTTAAAATACATTCTTTCAAAACTCATTTTCAACCACGCGTTCTTCAATAAAATAATATTTTTCATCACATCAATAATTTTTCTTACTTTTTAACCACATATTTCCCATCATATCACTGGTTAAAATACATTCTTTTCTCAATAATATTCATCAAACACATTTGTACTCAAGCCCCTCATTTTCTTTATCTGTTTGAGGGAGAAAACAAAATGGTATAGCAGCTTAACCTATCTTTACAGTGAATGGATTGTCACAATAATGCTATAGAACTGCAAAACATATATTTATGTTGATTTTCATAAATTATTAAACCTACGAGAGAGGGGGTAAGTTTTGCTAGTCTAACCATTAGATCACTATGTTGTGATATGTTTAAGCTTGACCTTGATTAAAGAACTACCCTCTAATTTCTAATCTGTTTTCTACTATGTTCTTGTCAATTTAGGGCCGAAGACGAGCCTGTAGACCCAAAGAGAGAATTTGAGGAGCGTTGCAAGGCACCATGTACGCGCCCACTTAAAGAATATCAGGTGATTTCCAATAAAGTGGAAATCTTTGAAATTTTAACGATCTTTCATCACCACGAGCTTCACTATTTCTATAGTTCCCTGATTTTTGTCTGTCGCATAAACCAAATATTTTATTCATAAATAAAAATTTTAAATTTAAAGAGATTCAAACAGGGGCTTAATAGTTCACCTCCTTGTTTGCATTGGAAACACATATATGTTGCACACTGTCACATCATAATGATTTCTATGTCTTGATATCCATTCGAAGTTTGAATAACTAAAGCATTCTATGAATGCCAGCACAAATGCATAATCATTGCATTGTGGTGATTCAAACTAAACATAGAGGTTTGAAATTATAACATAACTTTGTACCTGTCATATTAGAACAAATTTTGATAAAAAAGACTTAGGAGTCAATGGTCAACTTATTTATTAGGTATTTACAGGGGATTTGTCTTGAGAATCTCCCCTCTCTCTATCCTGCACATGTGTGAGAGTTCCGGTTCTGTTAACTTACCTATGGACAGACAGTTCTAACATGTAAAATGAGGGGTTAGCATTTGAATTCATTCGAAAACATGGCGTACAAGAAGGGTCAAATGAGAAGGTTTATATTGCATTTTGAGATGAAGAAGAATGCTATAGAAATGAGTCAAATAACCAATATATAAACATGCAGGATAATTTAAAAAATCTAAGTTAGCTCGACGAGATGCCAAGAGGGTAATTCTGGATCTTGTGCTAGAGTATATGAGAAGTAGTGTAGATGTCTTGAAACCAAGGATGGAGATAAGGCTAGTTACTAGATGTCTCACATATGTAGCAGGAACTAGAGGTTGAAATTGAGTCGAGTGTATTAAAGATGGAGGTTTGCATTGTAGGGAAGAGATCACAGAAAGATGTACTGTTTCAAAAAACTATATAATGAGATGCATATCATGAATTTTGGGGTTATAGGAATGCTAGTTGTACTTGAAGAATCCAGGTCCTGGAAGTGAGAGAGCCTATGGCATTGAAGAAAATGTCAAAAGGTTTGGATGGAATTCTAAGTATCTGGGCTATGGGGGAGAGGGTGATTGATGTAACTTGAAGGTTTTGAGAGCTAATTCGATTATTTGGGGTTTTGTTGGGAAGATATAACATGGAAGCCATTTACGTTCTTACAAGATTGATGAAGAATTATTATAAATACACAAAAAAAAAAGGATTTTATATGGTTTTTGTCAATTCGAAAAATGCCAATGATATGGCACTAAAGTGCTATGGTAGGTGCTAGAGAGAAGGAATTCTATTGATATATAATTTTTTTATTGAGGGTATATATGATGGAACAACTAAGAGGGTGAGATGTGGCAGTAGTAGATAATTTCCTGTAACTATAGGTAGGTCTGTCAAAAGGCCCTGTCCAGTCCAGCCCCAGCAAACACGTGACCAGGCATGGCCTGGACACGTGCTCGGACCGGGCAGGTGGCCCCAGTTTTTCCTGAATTGTTTAAAATAAAGAAAAGTGAGGTAAAAAATGAGAATTTGAGGTTTTGTCCTCAAACGGAGCCTTTAAGAGGCGTGCCTTCATACTATTAATTACTGCCCTGTCCAAGGTGCACCTTGAGGTGGATTTGAAGCGCGATGTTTTTAATCCATGATGTTATATGATTATGGGTTTCTACAATGGAAGAGAACAATTAATTTTCTCTGTATTGTTGACATATTGGCTATTTAGGTAGTAATTTATTTTTACAGTTAAAGAGAGCTGATCCCTAATTGATTTTGACGTGTATTTGATATCCTTCATTTTCAATTTTCAAATCATGCTTTTAATTGCATTATTTTCTGTGTACGTGTAGAATTGAACATCTTTATTTTAGTATTGATATCAGCTAAAAGGAATGGCACAAAAATATGTGAATGCAATTTTTTTCTCAACATAGAAGGTAAACTTTCGTAGAAGAATATTGTGTTCTCTTTTTTTCCCATCTTGATGCTGGTTATTTTTTTCTAGAAACAAAATTATCTTGTATGTTCCTAGACGACTTGTTGCTAATACGTGTAGTAATGAGTGGTCATGGTCCTCATGGATAAAGGTATGCCTTCTTGTTGTTATCTTGGAAACTAAAAATCAAAGGCCTTTTCAGCTCCCTATCCTATGCACGCTGTGTGAAGTGCATGTATGTTTGTGTGGTTCACACGCACAAGGAGTGTGCTTTATATAGTGCTATTCTTTTTATCATGCCTGTGCAATTGTCTAGGAAAGGTTTGTCCATTGCAAATGCTAATCCAATGATGGCTGACAGGCATGTTCTAAAAGGATTCAAAGTGATGAAGCTGGGCAGAAGCACTGTACTGGACAATACTTTGATTATTGGAATTGTGTGGACAGATGTGTAAGCATCGTTTATTTTGTTTACTCCTCTTCCCAACCGTCTTCAGATATTGACATTTTCTTATACTGATTTGCTGCTGAATATTTCTTTTTTTCCTTTTGTGGCATACAGGTTGCTACTAAGCTCTTCTCTCATCTTAAATAACAGGGCAAGGCCTCATTGTTAAACCAACACCACATCATTCGCTGTTACCTTTTTTTTTTTCAGAATTATGCATTTCAATATTTTCCCACTTTTGCTACAAAGCCAGCGATGCTTGTATGCAACTATTTAGCCACATGAATTTTTGAGATAAGAAAACTTCAGTTTGATCAATAAAAGAAGAAAAAAAATGTGGGATTGGATTTCATATTCTTGTGCAGTAACTGTGATTTCTTTGCATTAATCATAAAATTTACCATTTGGTGCTGGAAATTTTCTTCATGGACCAAACCCTTTTCTTCGTGTACATACAATAATCTTGCTTTATCATTTCAGCTTTGATATATTTGGTATTGCATGCTGTTGCAATTATTTTGTGAATAGAGGTGCTTGTAGTTGCAGTACATTGCTTAAATACATTTCCATACCTACCAATGTTAGCCTCTGGCCTGTTCACATGGTCTGTGGCTTTGACAACTTGAGATGTCAAGGTACGATTTTTGGTAGCAAAGGAAAGCATCACACCCCATTGAATATGCAGCATTGTCGATTGCTTCTCGAAAAGCACCACCCTCTTAGGCCAGTCTTGCCAGATATTCTGGGGACTTTCGGCTCTTTAGGTTACGAGCAAAGGTTGTACCCTGTCCATGGGATAGCTGCACCTTGCCCCCTTTCCAGGCACACTTTAGGTGACAGCACCTGAATAAGGACATTTTTGGACAGGACATTTAGTTCTGTGGCAAGGATTAAGTGTGATTCATCATATTTTCCTCTCGGACTGAAGGATTTCACCATTTCCTGAAGGAGACTCGAACATATTCTCTAAGAAAGTTTTGTTTTTACTACTCGAGCTAAATCTTGGTCTTAACCCTTGTGTCAATTTACTTGATTTTAGGTGGCTAGTCTCGAGTAGGGCTGATTCGAAATAAATAAGTTATAATTTCTTTAACAATTAGGCTTGTTTTGACATATTTGTGCTTTTAAGAAAATCAATTCTAGTTATGTTAAAGAAAGAATCAGCTAGAAGAACAATTAGATAAGAGTTTGGTGAGCTTTTATTTCAGACTGTTGCATGCATCAAAATCAACATATTGTCGAAGTTATTTGTTTTGATTTCATGTATATACAATTATGAAAATGGATATTGATTTTACTTATGTTATAGAGTGATGCTTAGTGTACAATATTTTTGACAACTTTATATACGCATTGATACGTGGCATTATGTCATTGAACAATTTTAACAAGAAATTATTTTTGTAGCCAACAATTTTTTGTCAAGAAAGATGTCATGGATGATTGTACAAATCGCAAAATCCTATGTTCTATTGTATTAGTGTCAATAGTAATATTGTAACATTTAATTTTACTTTTATAATAATCAGATATTTAAAAAAAAAAAATCTAAGAAAATGCATTCAGTATAACTATTTTAAATAATCAAAAAGAGTATCACAATTTATAAAATTAAAAACTAAAATCAAAATTCATATATTAAAATATATTCAATTAGCAAAATGGTGTTATTCATACCACAACTTTTGTTATGGATTAACAGTAGAATACCTCCTGAAAACATTTTATTTTGCGATATACCCCACATCTATTGAAAATCGCGAGAAAACTCATCTACTTCAAATGTTTGTGCAAACAACACCCATACCGTCAGCATCCGTTTGATGTACCGTTAAATCCCAGGGAAAATGAAAAAATAAAAAAGAGCAAATGAGTCAATTTATAGTTTCGTCTTTAATAACACCATCCCAACACGAATAGGGGAGTTTTTTATGTACCACATTGCATTACCTGACACCAATTTGTTTCTCGCTTACATAGCTGCAATAGTGGACACTTAGCTCCGATGGAATCCCGATTGTGCAGATGCAGAATGGAGATTGAGCTGAAGACTTCGTGGACAGCAGCGAACCCGGGAAGAAGGTTCTTCACATGCACATGACGGTTGATAATGGAAACCCGAACACAATTTTTGAATTGATTTTTTACTGAGTATGCTCAAGCTCTGATATTTTTTCAGTTTTCTACAGCAAAATGGAGGATGTGGGTACTTCTTGTAGTTTGACCAACCTATGTGTAGTAGATCTATGGAGTTCATACTTGGGCTATTGAGATTCAGGAATGCACTCGAACAAGAGCTGTTAGAACTGTAGAGGTATAGCACTGATTTTAGATTTAGGTTTTGGGTTTTTGGGTTTTTGTATGGGTGTGTAGTGATGTGGGTTTTTGGCGAAAATAAAGTTTCGATTGCCATATAAATGTTTATACTGAATGGATATTAGTGAATGTTGTGCTTTCGTGTTCAAGTTCTGTAAGTTAGATGTTCAATGTGATGTTCCAATTTCATCATCTATTTCATCTCTTATTGTTTGGTTGTTCATTGGTAATGACTGTACAACAAGTCTCGTTCTCTGAATTGGTTGTGAAACCCCTTACATATTGAATATGTTTCATAATACAACCACATAGTATTCTAAACATGAGACATCTAAACCTTGTCTTCTATGGCTTTTGTACAAAATCAACCTTGGATTGATGAAGGTTGCGAAGCATAACCCCATAATCCCCAATCCCAATTCAATATTACGCACACTAAAAGCAGGGCATCCACACCAAAGGTTGTATATCGACACCCCAAATATTACTAGTTAATAATAAGATTTGTTCACATTTATATGAAATACGAACAAAAAACATTACAACCAAAAACCAAAAATCAAGACCCAAAAAAAAAAAAGGCATTTCAGTTTGCAGCTGGTAGTTCCCTTCCTCTGCACTTCCTCTTGTTGTGCCCAGAAGCACCACACAAAGAACAGCTCATCACCATTCCTTTCTTAGATGGAGGTACATCAGCGGATGCCGTTGTGTTGGACGGTGTGGACGTTTCACTTACCTCCTTTTGCCTATTCTTTTTTGGTCTCCCAGCCTTCTTAGTGTATATAGGTGATGTCAAGGGATTGAGCCCGACGTTCGGCCATGTATCTGGGCTTGTCACTGGGGATATTGTCTGTGTATACGTCCGAACATACGCTTCTTTCTTATACACATCACCCACGTAATATGTGACATTCTGCATGCCTCGTGATAATAGTGCCGCAATGACATAGCTGCATGGTATACCCGAACAAGTCCTAGCAGTCAGGTCAACTACATACAAAGTTTGGATTTCATGGTGTCGTATGTGGAATTTTTGGTTCCCCAAATAGTCAGCATATTCAGACCGCGATAGATTTGTATTTTTCTGAATGATTTTCATTATTCTTGGTCCCATGATTCCTCTCCACTTGTTGCACGCCTCCATCCTTGCCACGATTAGTCGCATCAAGTACATTCGAATCTCCTCCAACATTGACAAGATAGGCTTCTCCTATGTATTCAAGATGGTCGCGTTGAAGGACTCTGATAAATTGTTTAGTAGCATATAACAATTATTCCCCACTTTGAAATACGATTTACTCCAATGCGCTACCAGCTTCAATTGCAACCAATCGTATGCAGCATGTTCCAGATCGTACATCCTATTCATCTGTATCACCCATGCAACTTCAATTGTAGCTTTACTGCTGCCGAGAGTAAATTTTTCTATGCGAGACCCTTGTATGTTGCACTAAAGTTGTTGTAAAGATGTTGCACCCAGGTACGATGTTCAGCATATTCAAATATTTGTTCAAGAGCTTGTACAAGCCATTTCTGCTTATCAGACATGAAAACCTAATTGTGGCTGTTCACTATACCGAAATCATCTCTTAACAACTCCAAATACCACCTCCAATTTTCACTATTCTCAACCTCCATTACGACATATGATATGGGATAAACCCCATTATTACTATCCACACCTACTGCTCTCAATAACTGGCCCCTAGGTCAATTTTCAAAAAACAGCCATCCAACCCTATCACCTTCCTGCATCCACTCATGAATCCCACCTTCAAAGCTCCCAGACATGTGTACAATCTTTTAAACTCCCAACCAAGACCCTTAAACTTTGTAGTTGTACCAACATTTGTATGTTTCAGATGCTCGCAATAATCCCACAAAATTTTGAAGTGGTAAACCACGGTGTCATGTAATATCTGTATTGCCAACTCTTTGGTTCGGTAATACTGCCACCTAGTCACGTCTCCAAATTGTCCCTTTTAACTTTATCAAAAAAATGCGCTCACAGACATATTAGGATTAGCCTTCCATGAAGACAAGTATTTATGGGCTAAGTACTTCGGAGTTAGCCTCCTGTTCCGGTATACTAGTGCACAATGTGATCACCATTGTAAGTCTTCACTGCAAAATTGTTTGAATATTTCACCTTGCTTGCGTACAACAGCCATCCACATGACTTCTCCTTGCATACTGCTAGCAATCTATACCCTTCGCACTTGACGTACTTTATCTCCTGGTTTGATGTTACGAAATGCTCAATTAATGCCCATTTCAAACTGCTTTCGTCTCGAACACCATACTTGTAGCGCACAAAATAAAAAAAGTGAAGATCGTAAAACGCAAGAAATATTTCTTAAAGGGGGTTTTACAACATAATCATTTTATATAGGGGGTGTATCAAAATGTATTGAATAAATAAGGGGTATTATCGACAACTTATTAGAATATAAGATGGGTTTTTGACAACCTTTTCGAAAATTTGGTTGCTCCATGTCAGTTAACAGATTGAATTCATCCGTTCATCCTTTCTGTCTGGATGTTGTTCCTTCATCTTCTTCGCTATCCAAACTACACAACTCATCTGACTCCCCGTAGTCAGTGTTCGAGTCTCTAACTTCTTGCCCATCGAACATTCCAAAACTAAATTTAGAACCAAAATGAACTTGTTGCTCAACCTTGTCACTGCCTCAGGTTCATCCTCAACCCCGTAATCACTTTCCATAAAACCTTCAGTGTCATTTCCCACTCCATCGTTCGGGACCTCCCCAACCATCTCCGGGTTCTCTTCATGTCGAACCTACTGAGAAGTATCAACTCCAGGTTCGTAGGTAAGTGTTTCCTTAAATTGCGACCCACCTCCTTCGTTTTTCGGCACAACGTCACCAATGTTCACGTCACCAAAACCATCTTCATCCACATCAAACACTGGGATGTAGCAACCTTTTACTTTCACTCCCTTTATAACGGGCACTACTCTCTGGGACCTCAAACACTAGTTCTTAGTATGGTTCTTACGCTAAGCTTCTGTCTAGCTAGGCACAACTACATAAATCTCAAGTCCTTTAAGGTCCTCCAACATCTCCCTCACATTAGATTCACTGTGTAATCTCCTCAAAGCAATACCCAATTCACATTTCTGCATCCTAATATAAAATTCTAAAGGTCCAAAGTCACCACAAACGTGCTCAAGAGCTTGGAACCATTCCCTATTGAAGAATTCAACCCTCACAAAGTCCACAAACATCACTGTACCATGCTTACACTTGACATTATTTGGCTTATCAAAGAAGACACCACCAGTGCATATAACAATTGTGAAGTGGTCTGTGTATCCGGATGGATGATAATGTGAACAAGGGTTAGTACAAAAATGAGTTCAAGACCCACAGCAAACTTCACACACACACACATTTTTTACAACGAAATTCCAACAAAACACATAAACAATCTGAAAAAAAAAAAAATCCTTTATTTCTTCAATCGGAAAAACAGAGCAACTTACCATACACAGGCGCTTCTTCAAACCCTTTGAGCCTTGAAGCCTCCATTCCCGATAATCACATTCAAACTGTAAATATAAAAAAACACAACTAATTTGAATACCGTATTCAACTATTTCACAAATTTCACGCACGCATTTTTAAAAAAAATAAAAACCCGCTTCCACAACTTACTTTGCACCTTCACTGAAGAATGATAGTTGTTCAGACTTCAGAACACCTCGAGGAAACCTCTACGATCATGGGTAAACAAGGAACTAACCGTACAACGTACAACTAGAATCCTCTCAACCTTCGTGTCACTTCGTCTTGCACAAAACCCCCATCTTCATGTTGGGATGATGTTATTAAAGACGAAAACATAAATTGATGCATTTGTCCTTTGTTATTTTTCCATTTCCCTCCTTCTTCCTTTAGATTTAATGACACACCAAATGGATACTGACGGAAGGGGTGTTTTTCGCACAAAACATTTGAAACATGGGGATTTTCTGCGATTTCTAATAGGTATGAGGTACATCGCAAAATGAAACATTTTTAGAGGGATATTCTGCTATTAATCCTTTTTATTATCTGAACAACATTTAGTGGCAATGAAGGTTCTCAATTTTTACTTATTTTTGCACTTGTATTTTTAACCTTTTTCGTGCCTTCAGCAAGATCTAGCACATTTTGTCTCACAAGACGATATTTGCCTAAATATTCTTCTAATGTTCATTGAACAGGGGGACAAATATTTTGTTGAACATGTATATTATTTATTTATTTTGCTTATTTACGAGAAGCAAATACGTTTTTTATGCCCTCCTAACAAATTCTTTGAACGGAACCATCATGAGAGAGATAAGAAGTGCAAATTAATAACAAAATTGAAAATAAAAATGGCGTAATGATATTTAGGCAACAGCGGTGTTTAATGATATCACTTGCGTCATTAAATTATATGTTCAATTAAACACAAGAATTTATAACTCAATTATTATGACCTACCACATACTTACATTTAAACTTGTGCTCAAAATTAGTGTTAAATAGCATTATTCATAAAAATAAGACAAACAAAGTTGGAGACATAATTACAGAAAATGAGCAATGATTGGGTCTCATTCATTATCATTAAAATGTGGTATGGCTAACAAGTATTGTGTTGTGAATATAATTATTCAAAGCAAAATCTGAAAAGCTGCATTTTCGTTGCTTCTCAAAATATGCAAGTAGATTTAAATTTATCAAACATTTAACACAACTTCGGATTCTTTGACAATCTGAAGTTAACCTTTAAAATAAATTCAAAATGAAGCATTAAACTTTTAAATAAGGTAATTCAATATGTGGCTTCCATTCTTTTGATGAAGTATTGAATTTGATCAACGTGAGGAATTCAAACATTAAGAAAGAAACTAAAAATTATGCTCAAGCTATATGTTGTGATAACTGACTTTAATAAATAAATACTTAATATTCTTGTATTATTAATTGCCTTATTTCAAAATTCTTATCTTGATGCCGATTTGAATTGATTAAATCTTTCCTTTAGTTAAAAATAAATAAACAAACGTGTGGTGGGCACACGCCTAAGATAATTAATAAAAGAAAAATTTGCCACATAGTCTTTAAAACATAGAAAATATTTATGTCATTTTCTGTTATTTGACAATGTCTATCTTAATTTGATGAAATTAACAAACAAAACCTTAAGTTTACTAAGCAAGTGTGAATGAATCAGATTCCTCTAACTAGTTGCCGAAAAAAGCTCATCCAAAAATAAAAAATATATTGCCATCAACATCTCTTCAATTAACTACCTATAAAAGGCCACTCCTACTGGCGTGTGCCTTCCACACTTCTCCATATCCAACTTTCAAACCTTAAATCTCCCTTCAAATCTTCCTCTTGTCTTTCCTGGATATTATCTTCGTATTCGTTTTAATGGACCCATTCAATCTAAAATTGCCACAGAATGAGACCAACGAGATCTTAGCTGCTGTTAATGATGATATTGAAGGGCAAAAGATGCAAGAAGTTGATGTATATGATTACTCCAAACGAGCACAGTGGCTTAGAGCTGCTGTTTTAGGTGCAAATGATGGTTTACTATCGACTTCAGCTTTGATGATAGGAATTGGGGCTGTCCGGAAGGATGTGAAGACGATGATCCTTACCGGAATAGCGGGTTTGGTGGCCGGCGCTTGTAGCATGGCAATCGGGGAATTTGTGTCGGTGTACTCACAATATGACATAGAAGTGGCTCAATTTAAGAGAGAAAATAGGGCTAAAAATGTTGAAAAAATTATAATGGATGAGGCCAAGAAAGAGAAATTGCCGAACCCTTTTCAGGCAGCTGCAACATCGGCCTTTGCTTTCGCCATTGGAGCATTGGTGCCTTTGCTGGTGGCGGCGTTCATAAGTGACTACCAGGTAAGGTTAGGAGTGGTGGTGGTCGCCGTGAGTGTTGCACTTTTAGGGTTTGGTGGAGTTGGGGCTTTTTTAGGGAAGGTACCTCTTGCAAAATCTTCCTTGAGGATGTTAATTGGAGGGTGGTTGGCAATGGGAATCACTTTCGGTCTTACCAAATTGGTCGGTTCAACTGGACTATAATGAAAATCGGATAGTTTAAGAAGTTATTTTTTAATGCAGTATTGTTTAATATTGTGCATCGAGTATGTTCTAAGTGCTTGTTTACTTGCTAGTGATTTCCTTGTATTTTCCTTCACTTTATTGGTATTATTATACTTCCTTTGACATTTCAACTTCTATAGCATGATTGGAAGGGTTGAGGAATGAAAATAATTGTTGTACATTACCATTTACAAATTCTTTTATAGATTGATGATGTGGCTAAAAGAATGTGAGAGAATTTTCTTTTATCATTTGGTTGGTGAGATTTTGATTCAATCAAATCTCAAAATCTTGCCACATCAATTGTTGTTAATCAAATCTGTAAACTGTGATGTACATGTAGCACAACCGATGAATGAAATAATTTTCATATCCTAGCTTGTGCTATAGAAGTTGTTCACTGTGATAGGACTTATAAGGGAACATATGTGCGCTGGAAAGTGATAAACATGAGCATGTGGTGGACACACGCACAAGAGAATAATAAGGGTAATTTGCCACTCATTCGAATATATATATGTCATTATCTGTTACTTTGACAACTCTTATCTTAATTTGAAGAAATTAACTAACAAAACCTTAACTTTTACTAAGGGTGCATTTGATTGCAAGTTTGAAATTTGCATAACAAGAAAATAAATTTTAGACAATTCAATTGCCTATAAATTATTTGTATAGAAATTATTAATTAAATGTGTTTAATTGATTTTATTCTTCAGGTATCTCTCCTTCCCTCTCTCACCTATTCGTTCACATGACCAATAGTAGGAAAATATTTTTCGTGGAAAAAATTATAAATCAAAAAGCACGAGTAGAAAATTAGGTAGAAAAAATAAAATTTTCATAAAAAATATTGACAATCAAATGCACTATAAGTGTGAATGCATCAGATTCTTCAAACTAAGGTTTCCAATAGCCCAAATATTCTCATCTTAAAAGCAAAAATGCTCATCTCCAAATGGTACATTTAACTATAAAAGCCACTCCTATTGGCTTCCACACTTCTCCTTATCCCTTTTTTTTTTTTTNCTCCTATTGGCGTGTTCCTTCCACAATTCTCCATATCCTTAAAAAAAAAAGAAGAGTACATCTCAAACCATATATCTCCTTTCAATTCTTCTCTTTTTTCTTACATGGAAGCAATCAACCCAAGAAAGCCGGAAAATGGGACCAACAAAACCTTACCATCTGCAAATAATGATATTGAAGGGCACGTATTTCAAGAACTCGAAGAAGAAGTTGAAGTTTATGATTACTCAAAACGAGTCTATTGATCTAAGTGTGATAAATTAAATTAATTAAGTTTTATGTTGTTTTTCTTATTTCATTTATTGTGTTCGTGATACAATTTAGTTTTTTTCCTTGTAGAGAAAACTCTAATTTTTCTTATTCATTCTAATTTAGACTCTATTTAAAGGTCGATGCTCTCCCCTTGTAATAAGCACATTTTTATCATTGAATACAATATTTACAAGTCTTCCTCCAATCTCTTCTTCTTCTTCTTCTTCTTTATACCATCTGCAAATAAGTTAATTCCATAAGGTTTGTCTATTAGCGCTTATTTGGTGTTTTATATATATAAATGTTCAGTATTTTGTATCAAATATGTACTAAATGTTCGAATTCTTATATGTAACTTTTCACTTCATTTAATTATGAGTACAACTTACATCTCATATTTAGTTTCTTGTATTATTTGTTCCAAAAGAGTGTGTGGACAGACATAAGGAGTTGCTTATTTTTTTTCATTTGTTTCCTTTCCCCTCCAACCCAAAATGAATATATAGAAGATTTTAATAAGTGAATTTTGAACTTAACGCTTGAGCACACAACGGGGTCTAAAATAGACTTATTAATCATTTTGGTTGCTATATGGGGAAAAACTGGATTCCAATAGTGCAGTTTGGTTACTTAGTGTCAGTTTCTTTAGTTTCGATCTCAACACAATGACAATTTTAAAGCCATTATAATGGTTATCAGAGAATTAATAAATTGAAGTATAGGAAAAGACTTTTACAAATAGTATGAAGTAAATTTGAATAATGATATTAGTAAGCACCGTTGATGGATAGTAGTCCATATGGCACTGACTCTCCTCACTTTTTACATGCCCTCACTGGGCTGATATTAAGGATTGGACATCAACGTCTACCTACAATCTATTTCTGGTGACATGCCAATTCATTGGAGTTCTCTATTAAAGATCGTTGCACGCACGCACGGACGGACCTAAATATTTTAGGTTAGGGGGCACAATCAAATTCTGTACAAATCGAATACTTTGTTCTTAATTTTTGAATGATTCATACTTGATTTGAGACAATGCATATTTACATTTTAAAAAAAACATTTCTTCAATAATATTTTGTTAATCATTTTCATCCATTTGATTTCGAAGAGTCATTTTATTAATGTTTTGTTCATCACAAGAAAATGCATATTTACGTTTAAAAATCTTATAATATATTCGATACAAACAATC